TTTCAAATGTCGATCAAGCTCCCTTTTTATTGAGAAGCCGCTATTTTCAAATCAATATCAAATCATTTCAAATCGTCTGACATTATGGTTTGCTGGGTATATACATACATATGTATGGATGTATGGTATACATAAAAGTGTATTTGTTTGTAGGTGAGCAGCTGATTATTTGAGTATATATGTACTCAAATATGCGACCTGACCTTAGTATTTGTTCACTGCAGATCCCTTTCCTGTAATTTCCTTTACCTCAAGTTATTTACATACATATGTACATCCCTAGGGCTTAATTTGACACGCCTTTTTCTTTCTTTGAATTGTATAGTCCAACACAGCCATGATACTGATCTGCGTATTCCGATTGTTTACAATTTTTTGTAATTTCGACGTTCGTTTGTAAGTGTGTATGGATTTCTTACCAAGAACTTTTTAATCTTAGATATTTGTTTTCAGCTTCTCAGTATACTTTGAACACTACCAATTACCACTTAAAAAATTGCACTAAAAGCACCTAAACTCTGCTTATTATTTGTTTGCGTACGACTCGGATGTTGTGCACAAACAAAGAAAAAATTACGAAATCGAATATTTTTGCTCTATTCGCTGTTCAACATTTCCTTTGTTAGTATTTTCATTTCTCGTCTCTTCTTTATCCCTAGGCAGGGTTGCCAGATTTAAAAATTTATCTCCGCAAAAGGTTTTCCAACTTGACTTTTACGGAAAATCTAAAAAAAAATATACAAATTATCAATAATTTCACTACAAACCTTCACGATGGCCGTATCGTCACTTTTACTGACGTAGGTATGCAGTTTTATAGCTCATTAAATTTAAGAAGGTAAAAGTGAATACGAAGATGCTAAGAAATCGCGTTGGATTTTAATATTTTTTTTTTGACTGGCGGTGCTAGGCATTTTCTTCTATACAAAAGGCACAATCCTAAGATAAAACGTGAGTGAAGTAAACCACTACATGGCTTCTTATATTTTCAAATAACAAATATTTAGGCCCCTATTGCGAGTGTCGACTGGCAGTAGAATAGAAATTTGTCGATCGAGTCGAACATCTTTTATTTTGCTATTGTGTAACTTGATCGATAAAAATTTGTACTATTGTGAATGGTCGATAGAATTGTAAACAGCTGTTTGTTTGTTTACATTTGTTTCTTGAGTGTTTTATTTACATCATTTTTTAAATAATTGCTTTTATTATAAAATTAAAAAAATGGACACAGTTGAAATATGGTTTAGTGAAGAAGAAGTGGATCCGAAGGTAATAGATTAGTAGAGTTAGCTAAAGCAAGGAGGGAATTGCGAGATTCGTCGGATCCCTTGGACTTGGAAGGTGTATGTACATGTGTGAGTTTTATGAATAGAAGTTGCGTTTCCGATGCTTCACAGTTTTTAGGCTTTACATGATTTGCAGGAAAAGCTGTTTTCCTCATTAATAAACTTTATGGAAGTTTAAGAAATACGGTACGGTTAAGTTTTTTGTACAATGATGTTGGGTTTTTGTGTCCAAACGCGTGACCCGATTTTAAAAACTTTAACATAACAAGTGTATTGAAAGAATTCAACTTTAATTTAAAATAAAGATTTCAAATTTCCGAGCACTAGTCAATTAATAAATTATGCAGTTTTTTTGTATAAACTTTTGATGTTGGCTCTGCGCAAAAACACTGTGGATGGCGTAGCCGGAGTTATATGCACAAGAAATATTGTATATGTATCTTTTCCAATAGAAGCGGAGCTTCCTACCCTACTCTTTCCGGAAATTCCTTTGCCTATGTCTTCACTCTCCTGCATCAGTACGAACAACCGCGCAAGTTGCCTTTTGTTGCTTATAATTTTTGATCTGTAATTCAGACACATACATGCATATGTATATTTCACAATTTTTTACAACTTCCAGTTCAATTGACTTACTTTTTATCCATTATAGTACCACTTTCTTATGTAAATTTTATAAACGCAAACTCCAACGACTAAAAAACAGCAATAGAAGGATGAGCGATTAAAAAGTATTCACAGTCGCTAATTGAGCGACTAAGCGACACTCGCAATAGCATCGATAATCGATAATCGCTTAATAGTCGTTTATCTACTGCCAGTCGACATTCGCAATAGGGGTGTTAATATGGACCACATTAAAATCTGCTTTTCATATAAAAATTCGTACGTGTCCCACCCGCAACAAACGTTGTCCCACCCGTGACAGAGGAATTTCGGATTTTTTTTATAATAAAGAAAATTGCTTTCAAGACCTGACGTGTCTGAAAGGGGGCTTACAGGTATTGTCTTCCCAGAGAGTGCTGCCTTATTTTCATTTTGACGCATTTCAATATTGATTCTTTTACTTTTAGCTGGCATTGCCTTTTTGTTTTCACTCAATTTAATTTTTAAAATTTTTCAAAACAAGAGAAGAACGTTTGAAAAAAGTGTGCAATAAATATATTGAATTTGTATAGATACTAATCAAATGTTTTTTTTTGGCTTTTGCAAATTAAGTAAATTCTCTGCAAGGTTCGCTTAAAATTCGTACACATATATGGAATGTTGTGTATGAAAATATTCCCTTTCCCTAGCAGTAAACCTTTAAGTGTGGGCAACTATATTTTTCAAATAAGGCAGATCGGAATATGCGTTCTCTGGGAAGACAATACCTGTAATTATTGTACCATGGCTTTCTTACGTTAAATTTTGTTTTAATATTGTTAAATCCTATTGACCTTTCTCGTTCTCAAAACGCGGCAGTCTGCGATTTCGGCACGACGAAAAGAACTGTGAATGTTGGAATAAATCGCTGCAGCAAAATCGTATAAGTGTGTGGTTAATTTAAACGTTTTAAATTAAAACTATGGTCGGCATTGTCGACAGAATCGCATAGGTGTATGCGACGGCTTGCCACGTCCAACAGCCACTTCAATTCGGCTCGATCACATCATTTGCAAAACTTGGAAATAACTACATCACTTTTACTATCAGGGTTGTAGTCTGGCATCATTAATGTCAGCGAAAAAAACACGAAAACAAAGCAGCATAAATGGCATAAACGAAACAAAAGAGAAAACGAGTACATGCATACATGGATACAAGCACACACATACATGCCATATACATAAATATGAGGATTTTTTGCTTACAAGTTATGACGCAGTTTGGTAAAAGTTTTCAAAAAATATGCACAATAAACCAAGCATCTAGCAACCAATGTTGTTTAGTTTAATTATTTGATAATGCGCGATTACAATTTCCATTAAATTCTTGACAATTAGTTCCTGCAATGGTATGAGAAGTCACCTTTGAAGCTCTTGAAATTTCGCAAATACTGGTTTTTACTCAGCTTCAGAGAAATCCGATTTTATTTTATTGCTAATATGCAATATTTTATATTTAATCACTGAACCGACTTTACTATTGTTACTATTTTCAATTCATTTAATCTGCGCATTGGGATGTAACGATACAAGTAAATACAAGTGCATACTCGATACATTACTTTAAAATCCGAGGGTTTTTGGTGTCGATACTTTTGGGCCAAGCACCGAGTATTTATCGAAAGGAGGTACTCTAAAGTAGCCATTACACGTGGCAAGTGCAAGACATTCTCTAAAGTCTGTCAAGTCAGTACAAAAATGCAGCGAGAGCGTAAAAGCAAAAAGAGCGTAAAATTGAGAAGAGAAATCTAGCATAAAAAGTTATTGAACACAAAACTAGTAAAAATTGCAAGTGAACAGTTGTGGAACTCATTTGACATTTCTGCTGTAAACATTTTACAATTTATAAAACAGTTTTAGGGCCGGTTACTCAATGTCTGGTTAACACTAATCTCCGGTTAAACATAGTTATCGCCGTTACCGACTCCCTGTTATATGCATGGAGTCAAAGTCGTCGATAACGATGTTTAACCGCCGATTAATGTTAACCAGACATTGAGTAACCGGCCCTTATATTTTAAAATATCGGAAAACATTTTTTTTAACCTCTTATATCTTCTTTACTTTTTATTTGCCGCAAATAATATTTAGATAAAATCAGCGTAAAAAGTAATATCGGTCTGCATTTTTAGTTTTCCCATAGCGAACGGTTGGTTATCTTGATGTGTTCCAAAATTAGTCAAGAAACATTTCCATGTTTTTCAAAACATCGGTGATTTGATTTATCATCGGATTCGTAAAAACATCGACGAACATCTACCTCATCTACCACACAAGGTCTGAAATCTACCAAGAACGATAGAATACAAGATTGCGCATTCCCGCAGAATGACATTTGTGGCAACGGGTAAACAAAGAATATGGCGAAGAACAATGAGTTGACAGTTGTGAATTTGCTGTGAGAAAACGTGTTCTCTTCTCGATTCACCAATTTCTCAAGCCATCTTTGAATATAGCAGTTTAAGCACTACGTTAACAAAAAATATACAACCACTCTTGAAATGTGTTCAAAAGAATAGGTCTTATAATTAACTATTTAGAATTTTTATGTTTGCATTGCAGGTGCCGAAAAAGTGATAATATCTTGCCGCAGCACATGTTTGTGAAAGTAGCAAATTTCAGTGCATCTAAAGTTTCTAAAGCGTTGTTACTTTTACTTGAGAAATATCAAAATCGGCAAATCCCAAGTAGCGGTTTCTGGAACGTGCCATATTTGGTCGCTACATCGTGATGTGATAAGAAGAAAAGCTGGCAGCACTCCGTAAGGTTGCAGAAATCTTCCAAAATATGTTCGAAAAATATCTTGATATGGAAGGAACTGCTTTACACTGACAAGAAAATTCCCAAAACTCAACGCAATTTTTAGCATTTTCAATCATGCACTTTATTATGCTAAAATTAATTTTTTCTAGATTCTAATAAAAGTAGTTGCACTTTAGGTGAAACCCTGCAGCATTTTTTTAATTTTTGTACAAAGTTTGATCCAAAACCTGAGATCTACCATATTTTTTTGAAATCTGCCACATTTTTTTCTAGATCTACCATAATTTGAGTCCGATCACTGGCCACGACCATCGATGTTGCTCGATACATCGATGTTTTTTACATTCCTAGTCTACTTTTGGTTATTTTCATTCTCATTTACAATCAAAGGAATTAATGGCGGATAAGTTACCAGCGATTGTGCCACCTTCTAAACCATTTCCTGGTAGATTTCGGGCCTAAACTTTTTATATATTCCGTATTATAAAAGCATTATTTGGTAGATCTATCTAACTTTCTTAAACAAAACCATGTACAATGCATACAAGTTATTTTAGTCGTCATGTATTAATTGTTTTTATTATAGGTTCGCTTACACCCGGTTGGAACGATCCGCCTCCTATAAATGATTCTCGCCCGGCTGGCCGCACGAAACTCAACTTAAACAAGAGAGTCGCTTTTCCCGTGCAAACCGAAAGAATTGAGCAGGGGCCTCCCCTTACAAGCTTTGGACAGTCGAATATACCACCAGTGGGCAATATTCCACCGCCGCCTTCATTGTTGACACATTCATCTCAAGGTTTACACACAGCAAATCCTGGGCAATAATCTGTCAACGTAGCCACTTGGTAAGAATTACTATTCCAGAGACCATTTGTGTATAAACTTTCAAGTAATTATTTAAATATTGCTTGTAAATTAACAATAATTTGATAAATATTTAAGAAATGTTATTAATTGAATAAAGGTTAATCTAACAATTAATTAAGAAATATCTTTAATACCAAAAGAATGGAGCTGCAATATTCTGAAAAGCGCCGAATGCCTCAGGAATGACAGAATACATCGCTACATCAGGTGTGGAGTAGGGATGACCGAAGTTTGGCTTCCGAAAAGTATCAGGTAGTTCGAGGCTGGCACCTTTCCAGCTTGAAAGAACGAAGACCAAATAATTCAATGGCATGCTTCTCTTTGTCCCTTGAGTACAGGGCACTCAGAAGAACTTCCGTCACTCTTCTCCGGCAACACAAAAGAATTCTGCTTAGTAAGGTTTGTGATCCCTAGGCGCGACCGAGGGCCTGAGCAGATTAGATGCAGATGTGCGCAACGAGTGCCCGGCATGCGGAGAGATGCCCCACGGCTCGAGCCATCACTTCGCATGCTCACTAAACAAGCCTCGTAGAAGCTGCACGTTTTCTGGATATCCCGTTAGCTGAGCTTGACGATAACGATTGAGGGACTAGCCGATCTAAGCAGGGTTGAGTAGCCGCTGCAACAGCAGCAAGGAGGGTGTTCAGCGCAAAAATACCGTGTTCAGCGTAGGAGGAGTGAGACTGATAACGGTTATTTTTGGTCCCAGCAAAAAAGTGAAACAAAAGCGTTTAAAAATTGACAGAAATTTTATTTACCGGTTACAAAACTTTTATTACCAGCGCAGATTAGACCTGTTAAATCCCAGTTATGCATACTTGCACTGCTATACCATTTTTACGTAAAAATCGAATCAACAGAATTCTACATGTCTGATTAGCACAAATCGGAGGTAGAAGTTCCGGTTAAGTACAATGACTGCTTTATCGATCACATGTTACGTGCATGATGTCGAAATCGTCGATAATGTAGTGGTAGTGATAACCAAACATTGCATAACCGGCCCTAATCATCGGTTAACATCGTTATCGACGTTTTCGATTCCATGTATACAACAGGGAGTCGGTAACGTCGATAACAATCAACTTATGAGATGGTAACAAAATTTACCGGTTACGAGAGTAGTGAGAATGCGAAAAGGGTTTAAAAATTGACAGGAACTTTATTTACCGGTTACAATCTTTTTATTACCAGCGCAGAATAGACCCGTAACAGGTCTATTCTGCACGTTACCGAAGATTTTGTAACAGGAAAATTGTATTACCAAAAAATGTTACCAGTTCTTGTCACCGCGATTCTAGGTACGTTGGTAATGCAGTTAAAATATTCAGCAATTCAGCTATGAAGAATTGTGCAAATTCTGGCATTGCATTTTTCACGGGGCAATACTTTGTTACCAGCTTATGAGATGGTAACAAAATTTACCGGTTACAAGAATACACAGAATGCGAAAAGGGTTTAAAAATTTACAGGAACTTTATTTACCGGTTACAAACTTTTTATTACCAGCGCAGAATAGACCTGTTAACATTGGGTCGGTAACGTCAGTAACAATGTTTATACAATGGTAAAAAATTCGTATCCATTGTTGCCAGATTATAAAGAGGCAATAATATGACCATGGAAAAAAAATATTAAACGTCTATGTAAAAAAATTCACTCATACTTTGTATGGAGTAAAATGCGTAGAACCGTCTGCAAAAAAATATTAGAAATCAACGCAGATCCTTAGCTACTATAAATTTGGACATTAATGATAATAGATTGGCGCTTACATATATGTATGTTAGTGTGTGGCCGAGCTTCTACTTCGATTTTGTGGCATGCGGCTTGATAGCGCACACAAATAGGATGGACCTACGATGGACACCTATTGCACATTATTATACAAAATTCGATGGGCTACACAATGTTTAAAGATTTGATAAAAATTCGTTGAACTTTCCTAAATTTTGTATAAAGTTTGATACTTTGATTTAAGTATATGGTTGTTTTTATGAAACATATTTTTGTAAAAATAAAAAAAGTTTAGCTTGTTAATATTTAAAAAAGAATAGGTGCACGCAGATATATATTTATATGTATGCAGGCAAGTGTATGTTTATAACACACATGAGTTTTACATACTTTGGCCAACTTTTTTACCTTGACACTACGGAAAACCCAAAAACACTCCACTTTTTGGCTCATTTCACTCTGCTCGAAAATTATAAAACGGCAACGCTGATGTTGGTGTTATGTCGAATCCATGAACGAGACACAAGATCACGTAAGAACAAGAGAGTGAAAAAAGTCGATTTTTTTAGCGGGATCTACGCCATCTTGTTTAACTGGAAAACGAGCGAAAAGTAAACAAAGCAAAGAAAACAACGAAAACCAAAATTAGCCAAAATTATTGTCAGCCACTTTAAACGCACAATTTAGGTAAAATGATGCATCAAAATGCTTTAAAATGTGTTGTCATGTTGAATTAACTCTTTTTTTTACTTGAAAGTGTAAAATAGTGGTGCTTGGGATGTAAACAAACGCTCAGCTGACGAACCCGCTTTCGCAAACTTTTTTCTCAAAACCAGTTACAAATACAACGTCGCGTTCTTACGTGATCTTGTATTTTTGGTTCATGCCTGGCAGCACTGCTTCGCCTTGGAATTCGTCTCGTTCGCCGCAATTGTTTGAAAAATTGAAACTTCAAGCGTCGTTTGTGTGGGTTCTGTTTGTGTATAATAATTGTCCATAAAATAAATATAGCTTTCCAAAGTTTTGCAAAGGAAGTTAAATCCTGCCAATTTGCACTAGTCTCTGCAGGAAAGCGTCACAATTGATATGTCACATGAGGTTGATCAAAATAATACTCCTGCTGTCCGGGTGATTGTGCGCGAAAGGCCCGCTCGAGATTTGCAAGATCCGAAAGAGGGGGAAACAAGTGTGATTTCCTACCACGAATGCAGTGCTAATGTGAGAGTCTTGGAAAAAGTTAACATTTGTAACAATTTGGTACTTTTAGATATTAATAGCAGATGGCAGGCCTTTTATTTTCGATAATTTGTTGGTCCCAACGGCTACTCAGGAAGAATTATTTCTCCATGTCCGTCCCCTGGTTGGCAAGGTAAAAAATGGGTATAATTGTACTGCTTTAGCATATGGACAAACAGGAACTGGAAAATCTTATTCGATGGGACTCAGCTCAAACGTATGTATCAGGCAGTTTATTAGTATGAGCTTCAGTGGTATTTAAAAACAACTTTTGTAGTCTTCCGAAGGTGAGCACGTAGGAATTATACCTAGGTGTTTGTTGGAGATATTGAAGACAAATGTGAATGAAGATGTTTCCAGAGCAGACAATAGTTTAACTCCAGAAATCGCATTCGAAGTGCATGCGTCTTTTATTGAAATTTATAACGAAAAGGTTTTTGATTTGCTGGGCGAAAACACTACGGAACCAATTATATCGCGCGGTTAGTACTCCAAGTGTCTTCACACAATTTTACTTACACTATTTTCTTTAGGATACAAATATACTGGTGGCACCCGAAAAGTTCTAAAAAACAATCGACGATTGCTATAGTGTTCTCCAACAAGGCAATAAAAATCGGCATGTGAGACCTACTAAAATGAATCCCCAAAGTTCACGATCACATGCGATTTTTACGATCCATGTACGCAGTGCGTCAGAAAAGGGGGATCTTAACACTAGATTGAACTTAGTCGATTTAGCAGGTTCGGAGGGAGTGCGTAGAACGGGCCATCAAGGTGTTGCTATGTCGGAAGGTGTTAACATTAATCAAGGCCTTCTATCAATCGGTAAGGTCTTACAAGCAAAGGCGCTCGGTCATAAAGTAATCCCTTATCGAGACAGTGTTTTAACTTCAGTTTTGCAAGGTAATTTTTGATATAAATTGCAAAAGAAAAAATACACATTTTTCAAATTTTCAGATTCACTTAACGAAAACTCTTTTTTAACATTACTGGCTTGCATTAGTCCACACCGAGCTGATTTGACAGAAACTTTGTCAACACTCCGATTTGCACAAAGTGTGAAGCAATTAAAACATTCGCCGCACATTAACTTAATAAAGGCAGAATCAAAGGTAATTGGATTTTATCATTATATTAAAATGTCCCAGGTTTCAAGTACGGAAAGGCATTCTGTCGTGAAACTTAAGTACATGTACGCTTTTGTCAGTAGAGGATTTCCCTTCAAATTATATATGTATTTTATTTATTAGCAATTTTATTTTATGTATCCAAAATTAATACAATCAATTACAACATCGCGCATTCGTTTACCGTATGTAGCCACATTCGCCTCAGAAAGAAGGCCAGACTCTTTTAGATCTCTTGATTTGCCTTTTTCAACTTGTTCACTAAGTTCCTCTAAATTCGGTACGTCATCACCTTTAATTGTAATGATTGGGAGCACAATCATTGCAAATATAAGACCCACTGCTCCTATTCTATGTAGCTCTTTTTCGAATATTTCTCGTGAAAATAATTTGGACGGATTCGATCCCAGCCTGTGCATAAAATAGATGACAACAGTTCTTGAACTTAGAAGAAAGATTATGATAAAAAAACTGAATTTAGAAAATAACTTGGTTCTTAACAATGTAAAGGTAATTAAATTGTGCACTTCCATTGCATCACATGCTTCACTTTTTTAATTCAGTGCCGGCACTAAATAAATTTCACATTAATAACAAAAAATTTGGACTTATTGCGAATTCTATAAGAACAAATATTCGCAAAAATTGTAATGCAAAACAAAAACACTCCCAATTTGTTTTTGTTTTATTTATTCCCATGGAGTTCGCAATAAGGCTCATTCTTGCCCGTCATTAAATAACCGTATAGAATATCGATTTAAAATTGAGATTAATATTTTAGTTTATGATTTTAAGGCATGTGAATGGAAACTGTTCTGAAGCCCTACCTGTTAATGTGCAAAACCAATTCCGCGTAGTAAACATTTAGAACATCGTTGTAATATAATCCGCGAAATTCCTTTGAGGTACAGGTAAATAGGAAGTACATCAAGTCGGTAAGTGGTGATGAGTATCGTAGAAGCTGCCAATCTAACAAGCATAAGGATATGAGTTTTGCATCCTGTAACATGCACACAGAAATCACGAGGCGTTGTATGTATTATATGTATTGTCGAAAATTGATCAACAAGTCTCACCTCATATTTAAACATTATGTTATTGTTCCAACAGTCTCCATGGCATACTACTGCATAAGGCTCACATTTGTTGCCGTCAATAAGGTCGAGAAAAATATCGAAGAACGGACGTTCAAAAAATCGTATTAGGACTTTTTTGGGCATCACGTCCTCTGCTTTCATACAAGCCTCTGCACTCCTCTTTAATCCTTCAAAATAGTAGTTTAAGTTTGGGTCGCCTTTACGTTGTTCAAAAATATCTTGGATTTTTCTAAACTTTTCCAAACCACCAGAATAATCCTGGTCTTTAATAGCGAAAGAGACCGCATGCAACTTCGCGTAGGCGCGCATTACTGTGGCAACGTGCTCAAAGCGTAATTCATCGAAACGATCAAACAGGCTGAAGTCCTGCAGACCTAAGTCTTCTAAAAATATTGCTTCGTCGAATTCGTCAGTTAAGCATTGAAAACATTCGGCGTACTCATGAAAAGAGTGTTCTTTGGAAATACCTTTACTGTTTTGGAAACCTTTTACCATGGGTAAGAACTAATTAAAAGTGGAACATGTGCGGAATTTAGTTAGTGACAAGCACACACATATATAGATATGTTTAAAGTTGTACCTCTTCATATGCCAGTGATTCCCTTAGAAAGCAAGGTCTGACGAAAAATTGCTTACGTCTATTGGGGCTTCGTGGTGGTATTTTAAGAATTAGACTCCATTGACATGGTCCCGTTTTATTATTTACTTTGACAGCAACACGATACACAATTCCGATATAATTTTCACCTTTTTTAGTAGCTGGTAGCAATTTGTAAGTGAATGATTGTGATGGAAATTTTATTTCAAGCAGTTGTTGTAGTGCACGTAAAACGGAGCTACTTGGATAGTTGTCGGTTGCATTATCCATTGTCAACTAAAATAGGTTCAAGCTTTAAATTTATGATTTATACTAGTGCAATGTTCAAGTGCTTTTGGGAAGGTATTCTTTTTGCTAAAAAACCGCAATCGGCAGTATTATATTTTGCGGTCGGGAATATAAAAAAAATTTGTGGTGAAGATCGACTAACATTGGTTACTACATCATCACATACATGTGTATGTATTAATGCATATTTATGGAGCATTTCATGAAAAAAGTGGAACTCCCAAAAAATTTGCAAATACATATTAAATTTTTTAATTTTTATAAAAAAAAAAATATTATTGTTGTAGCGGCACTACTAAGCCCCGCATATTTCGGGTCAACATTCAATCATTGTCGTCAAGCTCAACTAGCGGGAGGCCCAGGAAACGAGCTGTCTCAATAGGGTCGGACCAGAGGGAGAGGGGTGTAAGTTAGGGGTGTAAGAGGTGGTTGGTGGCATGAGGGGATTCTCCACATGACGGGCACTCATTGGGAATATTGAGGTCAAGTCTGGACAGGTAGCCTGTGAGGCGGCTACAGTACCCAGACCGTAATTGAGCCAGGGTAACGCGGGTCTCTCTTGGCAACTGAAGCTCCGTCTGTTGTTGTTGTTGTAGCAGCATACAAATTCCCCAAAAACTTTTTGGGGAGTGTTGCTGGAGTGACAGTCCTTGGCCAGATATAAATCTGGGTCGTTCCGGTTACGTAGACCCGACTGTCGTGGGAACGAAGTCCGTCTCTTCTACGGGTGGTGATTGGGCTCCGATTATGGCATTCATAGGTAAGATAGGTGGTGACTGACTCTATGGATGTCGTTAATAGCTCGTCTGTTTGTCGTCGGGTCCAGTGGTTGGTCTACGTATTGCTCGACTGCGGCCTTGTACACGAATAGGTGCCTACTGACGCGCCTAGGTGGAGGCTCCTTTTGTAGCAGAGGTCTGTTTGGGTGTTCGTTTCTATGATACCCCACCAGAAATTGCTTACAAAGCATTTTGCTGTGTTCCCTTACGGGGAGCACTTGGGCCTCGCTGTCTAGGTGGTGCTCAGGCGACATCAGAAGGCACCCAGTCGCTGTCCGGAGTGCGGCGTTCTGACAAGTCTGTAGCTTCGTCCACTGCGTCCAACTAGTCCCCGGCATCCAAACTGGCGCAGCATAGTTTAGAACCGGCCGACCAATTGCCTTGTATGTTGCCAGCAACGTTTCTTTGTCTTTGCACCACTTCCTGCCGGCGAGCGACTTGAGGACCTTGTTGCGGCTCTGCACTTTATTGACAACTGCGGTTGTGCGTGTAGTAAGAGAGCAGGCTATCGAAGGTGACCCCTAAAATTTTCGGGTCGTTTACAGTCGGTATTGGTGCGCCATTGACGTGTATAATAATTCTAGCCTGACCTCCTTCGTCCAGGTAGTGAAGAGGGTCGCCTTTGGTTTCGTTGGGGAGAGTGTTAGCCTCCTTGCAGTGAACAAGCGAGAAAGGCTGGAAAGATAGTCGTTTACTTTTGGGCAGAGGTCATCAATTCCATTCCCGGACGCCAAAAACGAGCAATCGTCAGTGTATGAGATCAGGAAACTCCCTCAGGAGGCTGGGGAAGCTTCGAGATGTAGAAGTTAAATAATAAGGGGAAGAGAACACCACCTTGTGGAACCCCTTGTTTAATTCTTCTTGGTTTCGAGGTTTGATCTCTGAAGATTACTGACGGCTGTCGACCACTCATATAATTCGCCATCGCTTCAGTCCCTGTGGGAGTGAGGAGGCCTAAATGTCTTCTAGCAGCGTGGAATGGCAGACGGTGTCAAACGCCTCTGACAAGTCCAGTGCTACTAGGACCGTTCTGTCACGGGCGGTTCCGATTTAGGCCACGAGTTATTTGGATGCTTATGGCGTTAAGTGCTGTTGTTGTGCTGTGCACTTTACGGGATCCGTGCTGATGCTTCGCTGGGGTCAGGTGGCAGGTGAAGTATGGGAGTAGCAGGGCCTCTAGTGTCTTCGCGACCGGGGAAAGGAGCGTTATAGGGCGATAGGAGTCTCCGTTTTTGGCGGACATCCCGGTTTCAGCAGTGGAACCACTGTCCCTGATTTCCACACATCAGGAATGATGAGAGTGGCCATTGACAGGTTGAGGACCTCCGTTCGGTAAGCTGCTACCGCAGGCCCCAAATGTTTCAGCATCAACATACAGATAGCCTTCCCGATAGCCCCTGAAAACAAGTAGTGCACTGTTTCTTGGCTGCTTGTGCAGCCTCCTGGTCACTCGAAGTTTGGCCCTGTCTATCGAAGGATGCAGTGTGAATTGCCTGATGAAGTAGGTTGCGCATTTCTTCGGGTCCGACGAAGAGCGAACTTCAAATGAGATTTCCTCTCTGTCATCCCGCTTCGTTGGGTTAGACAAGGGGCTCACGGTTGACCAGAGCTTACTCACACCAGATGTGAATTTACAGGCCTTCAAGTGCTCCTCCCACTTTTTCCGCTTGTGCTGATGTACCAGTTGCCGAATCTCCAAATTAAGGTCCCTCAGGCGAGGGTCCCAGGGATCGAAGTGTCGTAGGTGGTCACGCTCATTTGCTAGTACAGCTGCTTCGGCCGGGAAATTTGGGCTGACTTCCGCGATACGTCCGGACGGTATGAAGCGAGCCGCTCGGCGGCAGTGATTACCCGGCCAGCATATACGTTTGTGGGTGTGGGAAGGGCGGCGAAGCTGCTTTCGGTAACTTTCGCGAAGCCGTCCCAATCAGCTTTGTTAAAGTTGGTGTAGGTTCGGTGGTCCGCAAGAGCAAAGTCGGTGGGCTTATTGATCGAGATGATTATGGCTAGATGGTCTGATGCTAGCGCTAGCAATTGTAAGGTCTGGCGAGCTGCTGCAGCTACCCACAATCCTGGAGGGGGCGTCGTCGTTCATGGTGCAGAATGTTGAATGGTCTATCTGCTCAGCCAAAAGATTTCCCCTACGATCATTGGCCAGGCTTGAGTGCCAGAGATCGTGGTGCGCATTGAAGTCACCTACTACCATTCGGTTTTCACGTCTGAGTAGCGCACCTATGTCAGGGTGATATCCTGCCGGGCAGCAGGTGACAGGAAGTATATAGACGTTAAATATTTCGAGCTTGACATTGCCTGACCGTATAACTATACCCTGATATTCTAGTATGGTATCCCTGCGGTCGATGTCTACTTCGATAAGACGCACGGTTGGGTGCGTGATGCACGCTAGGCCATCACCATTATCTCGCTCGCGATCTCTACGGTGCACGTTGTATCCGGCGCAATTCAACAATGTTGAATAGCCGTGCAGCTTCGTCTTTGGACCGCAGCTATTAATATTCCGACCCATGAAGACTGCTATCTCCTCGACCTTGCTCTGAAGTCCGTTACAGTTAAATTGTAAAATCTTCGTGTGCCTAGGGAAACTTACTGGGATGTGGAGTGTCAGTGACGTGTTTTACCTGGTCGCCACATGTTGTCTCTGTCGCTGCTGCGACCGTTGCCCTTTGGTGGTAGTGGGCGGCGTCGCAGTTGTAGATTGTGACCGAGCATCACAGCATGGGCCCTCATAGTCCCTTGTCCAATCTCGCGTGGTGCGCAGTCTTGAGCATGCCCTAAAGTGATACCAGCCAAGGCAAGTGTTGCACTTGACTGATGTCACATTACGGAATATCCTGGACTGACTCACCGTGCAGATTGTCGGAGGACATAGGAGTTGTTAGCGGTGGCGTTTGAGTAGTTGTTGTTGTAGCAGCATACAAATTCCCCAAAGACTTTTTGGGGAGTGTTGCTGGAGTGACAGTCCTTGGCCAGATATAAATCTGGGTCGTTCCGGTTACGTAGACCCGACTGTCGTAGGAGGAGTTGTTAGCGGTGGCGTTTGAGTAGTGGTGTAGTTGTATCGGTGGTGTGGTCTGTTGTGTCAGTGGTGTTGTCTATTGTATTGTGTTGTGGTGAGGTTGTGTTTGTGTTGAGTTGCTCAGGCGGACTCTGTTGTGCCGTGGAGCCTGCTCGATTTGCGGAGCAAGGGGCCACGCATGCGGTGGTCCACTGTCTATGAGTCGTAAGGCCTGAGCAAACTCGCAGATGGCTCCACCCATTGCATGTGTTGCTTTTGACGGAGGTGGAGTTGTGGTGTAGTCTTCTCTGGCACACGCAGCAGGTATATGTTTCTGGTCCAGGGTTTGACTCAATGCCAGCCTTGAGCAGAAGTATGCGAAGAAGATGTAGCCCTAAACGGGGTTAGATGCCGAAACAACAGCCCTTGGTCGGATAAAACCCGAGTCATTCCGGCACGTAGAACCGGCTGTCGTGGGAATGGGTCTTGCGCTACCCTCGTACTTAACGAGTACTCGTTTGCCAAACAGCCTCGCCTGTTACTCGTGAGTTGCGCAAGCTCAGAGCAAACTAACGAGCGAGCAAGGGGCTAAAATGAGGCAAATCCGAACCCTGGACAGCAGGCTGTGAAATATCAAATGTCGGAATTCTTTGGACGCTACTATTCACACAAACGAAATAATAATAATTTTTTTATTTACCGTTTTCATATCAGGTCCGTACTTGGCTTTTTACATTAAAATACTGAAAATAAGCGTGGTCGTTGAAATTAAACTTGGAAGCCCTGAATAAGCAAAATAAGCAATCCAAAGCAAAAGCTTAGAATTTTCGGCCTCTGTTTCATTGTACTAGCATTAATAGTAAAATTTGCACGGTGCTAAAAAAAAACAAATACACTCGAAACAAAACTTAGTGTAGGTTGTAGTTGGGGTCGAATAGGTTTATTATAGTTCCTGAACCCTCCGTGTTTTTGGTTGCATGAAGGTTTGTTTGTTAATTTGAAAACACTACGATTATATTTTCTAATGTTTTTAAAGAAACTGCGAATGAAAACTCCAAAGAAACCTGCCCTGACTCCTGCTCCCAAGAAGCGGCTCTACCCTAAGATAGGCGTGAGCGTGGTACCGGTGGCGTTAAAGCATGCCTATCACAGCAACACATTTTGTACACCGAACAAGCTAAAACGAAACACTGTCGCTGACAAACTGAACCATTCGGAAATGGGACTTACACCAAAGCAAAAAGAAAAGTAAGATTATGCGATTATTTCCATATTGTTATTACATATTTACGTATTTTTACTTAAAGGGCCCAAACAGGCATGCTGGCTCCATTGATACCCGGATTCTCTTCAATGCTCCCAAATTTAACTTCGAAAAATCGGGAATCGAGTATTGTAATGGACGGATCCATAGATTCTCGTGCCTCGATAATGAGTATGAACGTATCATCATCAACTATGTTTGGGAATGATGGCCCATCGACGAGTAAGACGACTAGGTATGGAAATCGTAATTAAAAAAAAACTTCATTAAATTTTCTCCTTCATGCAGTTATAGTCCAGTGGTTCGTAAATGTATGGCCGAAATCGGAAATATCATGGACAACAAAATGTCGAAATTTCTGGAAACTCTCAGTGAGAATTTTAGACCTCAAACTATAATTGTAGAAAAAACGCCCAGCTCTACGCCATGGACGACCGATCCAGGTAGTGTAAGAGCGTTGCCAACGGTGTTTCGCCAGGAATTGAGAAGTATTGTAAAAGAAGTATTAAAAGAAAATGTTGGCCAGTCAAATGGAAACGAAACAGAGTCAATATTGGAGTCTTCCCTTTTAAGAAATGATCCCAAATGCCAGCTGGTAATTTTTTACTTGATTTATCAATGAAAATATTCTAAATAAGATTCTTTATTTTATTTCAAGTTTTCAACAAGTAGTCCGGTTTTCAAAGTCCCTTCTGTACCTGATGGAGGTTCTGATAGTACTGAAAAATCGATTGAAGCTCACGAGCAATCAGAGGATTCTGAAGTCTTTGAGGGAGGTCGGCAAAGTAATGCTGCAATGCGTCGATCGCGGCGCATTTCTCATCGTTTGCAACATAGCTCAATTTCCAGTTTAGGTGCTCGTGGGACAATAAACGAGACACTAAGACGTTCACGACGCATTTCTACGATGCGAGAAAAAATTGAGGAGCAAACAGTATCCGAAATTAGCGAAACATTCAAATTGACAGGAAAGATCCATCATAAAAACAAATCCTTAAAGCAGTTGCATATTGAAAGGCGAGAGAGTATACGCCATGCTGCACATTTGAACGGTTTGGAATCAGATGACGGAAATGAAGGGGTTAAAAATAACTCAAAGAAAGCTAAGAGCACACAAAAACGATGCTTCGCTGATTTAAACAATAGTGTCATAGAAAGTTACTTTGCCAACGAACCGAAAAGTTCCACGTCGAATGTTAAATCAAAGAAACCCTATATTAAAAAACATCGAAAAGCTGTACTTGATTTACTTAACTCAGGCTCTATGAAAGAATTGCAGATACTGCCACAAATTGGACAAAAAACGGCATTCCAGTTGGTGACACAAAGGTAATTGCCTGTTTCAACCCTACCTGCACTGATTTAAGTCTATGTATGTATGTACAATTTTTTGTATTCTAGAACAATAAGTGGAAAATTTAAGAACATCGCACAGCTTGAAAAACTGCCTATATGGCGTGGAAATTCCTGGACTCGATTTGCACAGGTATTCAAAATCAATTCCCAAAATAATTTCGAAAATTCTAACTTTCCACTTGCAGGCCAATTTACTACTAGACTGAATCGTGTTTGTTTGAAATTTATTGATTTATAAAAATATTAAATAAAAAAAGGTTTTAGTTTAAAAACTCCTACAGACAGTTCTGAAAATTTGAATACGAAAAAAAAAATCAGTAAAAAATGAAAGCAAAATTTACTTTTTTCGACC